GACATAATGTAGAAAAAATATTTATGGAACCGACCCCACATAGTGGAATAAAGGCTTGAAGTTGTTGTTGTTGTTTACAAATATTGCATTTACTGTTTATTAAATAAGGTTTTTCATTCAAATAAGTTATCAACATCTAGTGAGCAGTCATTTTAAGTTCCTTTCCTGCTCTCCCCTTTCTTCTCTCTAAACTCTTACGATAAAATTTAAACACAACAAATTAATTTCATTTTTACTATTCGCATTTATTGTTTATTAAATAAGGTTTGTCCTTAAAAGAAGTTGTCAACATCTAGTAAGCAATCAATAAAAGCTAGGATGATTGTCACTGGAATTCACTTTAGTCTCACTTGCATGAACTTGCATGGCTTCCAAAATTATCAATACAAGCTTCAACAAAATTAATATCATCACACAATTTGATTTTGTTTGTTTAATAATTCAAAAAATAACATCAAGCATTTATCTTACTATATGGGGTTGGTTGCATAAATCATTTTTCGCCATTATGTCTTATTAAAAGTAGAATTCTCATTTAAATTTAAAAAAAAAATGTCATCTCTAATACTTTCTAACTAAGTCTTTTTAGGTCTACATCTACCTTTTTAACATAAACTACTTCCAATGCATCCATTCTCCTAACAAGGCCATTAAAAGGCTAACATTTGATGTTACCAAACCATCTAAGGCAACTCTCTCTAATCTTATCTACCATTGCCACTGGATCTACTCCTACCTTTTCACGTATATACTAATTTCACATTATGTCTCTAAGTGTAAAGCCACTCATCCACCTAAGCATCCTCATCTCAACACTTAGCTTAATTTTATACTTATATTTTAATGGCTAGCATTCTGCACCATAAAGCATGGTAAGTCTCCCAACCATCTTACAAAATTTTCCCTTAAATTTGAGAGGTATTTTTCTGTCAATAGGTCCAATGCATTCCTCCACTTCAACCGTCCAACTTGAATTCTACTAATAATATCCCCATCCATTTCACCATTGCTTTGAACAATATACCCGAGACATCTAAAACATGCACTTTTTTAATGATTTAATCACCCACTATCACAATTCCGCCACTAAATTTTATACTAATAAAATTACACTCAATGTATTATATTTTAGATCTATTCAAATGAAAACCTTTAGACTTTAAGGATAACCTTTATAATTTAAATTTTTCATCAACTCCCTCTCTAATCTTATCAACAAGAAAAATATCAACAAAAAACATAAACCATGGTGCATCCTCTTACAAACGTTAAGTAAGAATATCCATGATTAAAGCAAAAAGATATGGGCTTAAAGTTAATTGTTAATATAATCCAATAGAAATAGGAAAATACTTGTATCTACATCATCCTTAGAATATAATCTATTGTATAAATCACTAAAAGCTAATTTTTTTGCATCTCATATTACTTTCTTAGACTCCTTACGAGCCCCTATATATCTTTTTTTAATTTTTTGAGCATTTACATCCATATCTACAACGCAATATGGGAACGCTGGCTTATTTAATACTATACTCGAGCATCTATGCACTGACTCTTTCATTGTATTTAGGTCATATATTGCGTTGCTTCTAGGGAACAACTTAACATTAACATGTTTGTTCAATAATTCATTCAATTAATTTCCAAAGTTATTAAAATTTTATACATTTAATGACTATTAAATTATCCTGATAATTAGCCCCTCTTCTAATCAGCATGCATATGACTTAAGCTTAGGATTTATAATGTAACTAAAATGATGCACATAACTAATAAAGGAAATTTTGAGAATTCATATATTAAAAGTAACGTTCAACATCTTGATTCTTATAAAAGAAAATAAGCAATACAAGAATTTAAAGCCAAATGATAATAAAATGATAAACATAGTTGAGAATCATAGCAACAAAATGGAAAAAAATCGTCAATAAATTGAATTAATTCATATAAAGTTGACTATCAATGTGTCACCCTTGGATCAAACCATGAGTATCAAACAAAGCAAAAAATAATTATACAATAAAACAGGACGAGGAACCAAAAATTTCAATGAAAAAATAAAGTATCATACTAATACAAGAAGATGACTTTCTTGAATTAAATAGTCATTTGTAACACACTTCAAAGAATCATACATCAGCTTATACTAACAAAATAAAAACCATAAAGAAAAATATATTTAAGCCAAACATTCTAGGGTATATGCCTTAGATTAACTATTTATAAAATTATAATAAACTAAGCTAGTAGATACATTTGGCATAAGATAAATCTTAAATAAGATTTAAATTTATCCCAAAATATAAGACGAAATTCCCATTTTAATCAAAATTCTATACTAGTCAAACAATCCAACAATAAATATGGCTATCAAGCGAAGCCAACCCCCAAAAAAATCACAGATAAGGAACATGTCCAACCAACAGATGGTGATAAAACTGCAACAGCAATCCCCACTTAAATTTCTACACCAACCTCATCCAGACAACCATTCCATGTTCAACTCACAATGGCAATAAACACCATAATTTTTGTTCCTCAATTTCACAGAAAAACACAACTTCAGTGCCATGCAATCAAGGAAAAAGAATCAGGATAAGATAAACTCACCAAAGCAAACTCCCCAGCAGAATTCAAACCTCGATATCCTAAATAATTCACCACAAGAAATCAATGCCCCAGTCCAATTCAGTAGCAATCCAACAGAAACTAATATCCCAAAATAACTATGAACATAATATATAAATGTATAAGGCAGTCCACCTCCTCACTATTTTGTGAGAATTAACCTAAATCGAATCAAAATTAAAATCATGCCAACCAAACAAACTAACCTAAAGCAAGGGAAAAAATATAATTTTCTCAGTCATCATCAAATCAACCAACTAATGCATAGAAAATACATAAATTAGGATTTGATGTGATGATTCCAACTTGTATAAACATGAAAATTTCTATCTCATATTAAACGTTGGAATTCCATAATGATGACTGCATAATCTTTAATTTCCCTCCTTTCATCAATTCAAATGAGTACTCGGAAGAATTTACAGTTTATGCGGTCGAAATTTGAAAAAAAAAAAAAGATTCCAAGCAATTGTCAAATGCGCTCAGGCAGTCACATTAAGATTGTAATTACAATAAAAATTGCAGAAGTTGATGGGGAATCTCTGCTTTAATAAAAAGGGAAAGATATAATATTTGAACTATTGGGAGAATCAGAAGGAAAATTTTAAAATTGTGGTTTAATTTTCAGGGGAGCACCAACCTGAAGTAGAGATAAAAGGGATTTCTCTCCACCCATGTGTCCTTGGGGCCTATACGTTCAGCTATTCTCAGCCCAAGTAGTTTTTGCCAGTTAAGTACCTTAAATATTTGGATCATCCTACAGCTAGTGGAGTTCCAAGATGGGATGATCAACACATGTAAAGTAATTATTTTTTGTCATATTCTTATAAAAAAAGCTGATTCATAAAGCCAATTTAAAATGTTGGAATCAGAATAATGATGAAGATGTCAATAGTAGCCTTTGTAGAACTCTACCATATGATCACATGAAATTCAATATAACCTCACTCTTCTCAAGGGGGTGTATGGTTGAGGAGCTATTTGTTTGCAAGTAATTTGAATCAAGAGGTATTAAAATGCAATGTAAAATGTAGTAGAATGTATTTGAAATACCAAAATTTGTTTGATTGATTATAAATTAAATTTAGGATATCAACTTTTTGTGTTTGGTTGAAAGTAAAATAAATCTAAATTATAAATTAAAATAAATGAACCTAGGATATAACACCAGCAAGGACAAAGGTCAAGTGAGGGATTGTGGGGAAGAGGTCAATGAGCATTGAAGGAGTTGCAACGAGCGGCAAGCGTTGCGTGAGTGAGGTTGTAGATAGGTCACATGTGAACAAGATCACGTGTGGAGGTGTGAACGAGTTACTGTGCGAATCTCGAGCAAGTATAGTGAGTGGCATTGGTGCAATCGCATTACGCGAGGGAAGTAGGCTTTGAATGCTTTTTTATCTCGTTGTGTTTGGATGAATTCCAAATATAATAGAAAATGAATTAGGGGCGATTCCACATCCCTCAAGAAGTTATATTGGAGCTATTTTTCTTGAAAAACAAATATCTGAAATTTCAAAACCACTACATTTGATTTGCTCAATATTACAAATGCACCCAAACAAATAGCCCGAGCGAAAAGTTGATGTAATCCTAAGAGTTTGCATGCAAAATTAGTTTATTGTATTTGGTCGAAAGTTGGTGAAGTAAATTTTGTTTTACTTTCAAGTTCATTTTCTTCGCAAATCTCAAGTAAAATAAATACAGCCAAATTAGTAATGTTGTCCAAATGCACCAAACCAAACAGCACCTCAATTGCATAAGCGTTGAGTGTGGTTGAATCTCTAGCATATAAATATATTTCAATAGAAAAAAGAACGTAAAAGGGAGTAAAAAGATGGCAATCAGCGCTTAGTTTTTCCATAATTGTTGCAAGTTATAGAAGTCAGGATTGAAATAGTGCAAAACTTAGCAACTAGCTTCAAAGGCAACAAGGACAGACAGATAAATAAATTGTTTATGATAACAAAGTAAATATTATAATTTAACAAGATGTATGCTAGACTAATAAAGGAAATTTAGATTATTATGATACAACTAAATAATATCCTAGGCTTTTCCTAAAAAGTAAAACAAGCATCATTGAGTTGGGGTAAGGAAAACAAATTGAATTTTTTTTCTAAATAGAACCTCTTGGAAGCTTCCAAAAAATTTAAAGAAAAACATGATAAAAGAGACGGCTATTTAAAGACAACTTTATTATTGTACGATAAATGCATCTTATTAAAGAGAATGGTTAATAAAAGGACCCATAAAGTTCTCTTACAATGGAGATCAATTAAAGTTAAAGATCCATTTGTATACAGTCATAACAGTAGAGAAGTTCAAGAAAACTAAAACTACAAAGTTCTTAGGCTCCCATGATTACTTACCACTGCTTGGGTAGGATAGGTGGACATAGAACTATGGGAATATTCACCATAACCATGTTTCTCTTTCCGCTGCATTTTAGCCAACACTTCTATTTCATTATTATCACTAAATTTCTTTGATTGTGGTTCAGCTTGAGAAGCAAATGCTTTCTCTCGAGATGCCTGATTTGTGGTACCAAATGATTCAGTAGTGCCACTTGATTTATGATGATCTTTGGAGGAGAGAAATTTTCTCCTGTCGAAATCCTTTGGTTCTGTTATGACTGATGAAAGATCCTTGTTTGGTAGTTTTGCATATGGAGCAATATCTGAGTTGATGACAAAGTCAGAAGTCCGTTTCTTGTATATGCCAGTGGAAGCATTCGCATTGGTTTTCAAAAGCTTTGCTTCTTGATAGTGTTCATCAAAAGAAGTTGTAGCTTCTGCTGTAGACAATTTCTTTGCCACCAGAGGAGCATTCCTTGCAGCAGCTTTGATCTTCATATTACCCATGTTCACATATTCATTTGAAACATGATCATGGTCAGTTCCACTCTGAGCTTTTGTTGAATCTTTTCTCCTCCTTTTCTTTGGCGCTAGATTGGGGGAGGAACTTGGTTCACTAGTATGAAAAACAAAAAATAACGAACGTAATTTGATTATTTCAACAAGGTAAGAAAACTTTGCTGCTATGGTTTGAATAGAAAACTACTTGCTATGCTGATAAAATTTTAGTCAATCTGAACTTACGAACAAGGTTTTCGTGGAGAACAGAAAGATTTAAGGAAAAGCAACAGCTTGCTGTATGGTTAAGCTGTGCCAAACAAGTACTAACATAGAAAAAAAACTGGTATAATGTAAAACAAGAATAGCAGCAATGAAAATAAAATCATAAAGAAAATAAGAATTCTATAACCTTCAAGTACCCTTGATATTCTCAAATCACATAGCAATCACAAGAAACTTATCGATTTTGGCAACCCTGTCTTAACTCAAAAGTTATGTCCATACATATCCATTCTATACTTTTGGATAAAAGATCAATTTATTATTTACCCTATACCATCCAAGTAAGATAATAATATATTTCTGCAGTTCAGCAGTGGTTTGTTAAACATGTGGAAGTAAATAATTAAATAATTCATCTCATAATTCAAGTAAAATAGACGTTCAGCTTCTCAAAGACCGACAGGAAAAAGCAAATACACAAACATGCAATTTCTCTTTAAAGAAGACATACGTGAAAGCAAGGATAATTTTGCTACGCAGTCAAAAAAGGTTAGTATAGCGTTTTAAAAAACTGGGAGAAAATGGTTCATATTAAAAGGTCAATTTAACTAGGCTAGGCCAATTTATTTCACAAGTAGTCGAAGAAGCTGAAACTTAGTTCAAGAACTCGGTTTAAATAGTTCTTTGCACAAAGTCATGGTGGTTCATATTTTTCAGACCTTCAAAAAGATGAGAGTTATATCTTTTTATGAGGTTGAAAATTACATTCATTTTTTCATTTTGAATTAATAATAATAAATATATGAGAAAAGGACCAAAATAGTCCATCAACTCTTTAGGAGGGACCAAAATAATCCCCAACTATTTTGAGGGACTAATTTGGTCCCTTAACTCTTTAAAATGGGATCATTTTAGTCCTAACATTCAAACTAATGGATGTTGGACTTAATGGTGTTAAAAAATAGGGGTTTTTTAGTAATTTTTAATTAATCTATTTATTAGATATATTTTATGAATAATTATAAGTTTTTTAAAAAAAATTATTAATCATTTGTTTAATAAGAAAAATTAATAATAATTTTAGTTATAATTTTAAAAATTTTAGTCATATATTAATTATTTAACATAACTAATAATATCTTAGGGATTAATTATTATTATAAATATTAATAACTTAAATAATTATATAAATACTATTATTATTTTGATTATTAATTATCTAATTATTATTTACATCATTAATTATCTAATTAATATTTTAAATTTATTAATTTATATTAATTAAATTACATAAATTAATTCTTAAGTGTTGCAGAGACGAGGATACTCAGGTGGATGAGTGGCTTTACCCTTAGAGATAGGATATAAAATGAGCATATACATGAAAAGGTTGGAGTAGCTCTAGTGGAAGATAAGATTAGAGAGAGTAGCCTTAAATAGTTTGGTCACATAAAACGGCGGCCTTTCGATAACCCGGTTAGGAAAATAGAGGTATTAGATTTGACTTATGTTAATAAATGTAGAGATAGACCTAAAAAGACTTGGTTAGAAAATATTAGAAATGATCTTTCTTTATTAGATTTAAACGAAATTTGACTTTTAACATGATAGAATGGAGAAAAATGATTCATGTAGCCGACCCCACGTAGTGGGACAAAGGCTTGTTGTTGTTGTTGTAATTACTAAATGATTTGCTACTCTTTCTTCTCTTCCGCGTTCTTTGTAGTTGCTAGACGCGATAGGGTTTTGAACAAGTCGCAAAAGCCTTTCTTAGCCTCCTTCGACAACGTTCCTTCCTATCGAATCGGAATTCGTGAAAGTTCGCCGATGTAGCAACAAGAGGGTTTTGAATGAGCCGCGAATGTCACCTTCGACGACACTCCTTCGTGTCTAATCGGGGTCGCGAAAGTGTCATTTTTCCTATTGGATCAGACGTAGTGAAGGGAGCTCGCTTGCTGTGAACGCAACTATCATTCTCCATTTCTTCTTATTATTTTTGTCATTTTTTTTTGTTATTCCGATCATACCCTCGTTGTCATCCGAAATTTTCATTATTTTATAATGGCAGAACTCCCATTTTAAGGAGTTGAGAGACCAAATTGGTACCTTAAATAGTTCAGGACTATTTTGGTCCCTCCCAAAGAGTTAAGGGACCATTTTGGCCTTTTCTCATAAATATATCGAATCAAAAAGAAGAGCATGGGATTTAACCATTGTTTTGAATCTTGCTTGCAATATGGAAACTTAGTGCAGCCAATAAACATCAAAACTATAGCAACATGCTATCATGCAAACAGATAGGCACCACTGAATTTGCTCAAATGGAAATCACTATGGACCTGAGCTCCAACCGCCTCCAATCATTTAAGTGGATACAAACTGGCCCTAGAAGCAGAGCCAATAGAACACTGTCCAGCATGGAGCAGGAGCTAGCCCTAATAACGTAGGCATCGGTTTATGAATGATAATGGTCGCTTTGGGCAAAGTAAGACAAAAGAACCTTCATAATAACCTTGCTAAGAATTAATCGGGTTTAAATTAAACATATTTAAGCTCAGTATAATCAACTAAGTCTTTTTTGTTCTTGCAAACTAATTTGTTTGCTGTAGCTTTCGGAGGTAGTTCCAAAATACCATTAAGTAATTAAATCTATGTGCAATAAAAATATCTAGATCAAATAATCAAGGGGAAAATGACTTCAAATATATACTATAAACATAGTTTCTTTCAAGAACTACTAACAGTGTATGGTTTGAACTTCTTGCATAACGTATTGAAAAACATGAATCATTAACATAAGTTTTCCAGTTTCCATAATCACAATTAGGAAGATAAGCACCCGCTTCAATAATGAGCCCAGCTTTAAGGGTTTAAAAGTTCAAAACTTACGAAAAAATTTAATTGACTATGCTGTGAAATAGTCAGGACCATTTGATGTTAAAAGTAATCGAAAAATGGATATGCAATTTGGCTTTATTGGAGGTCGGAAAAAGAGAAAATTGGTGGAGTAAAAGGCAAGAGGGAGGGTTCACAACTAGTAAGATTTCAGCAACATAGAGGAACTGAAGGGATCTGCAATCCCAAGATGAAGTGGTGACCAATGAAATTTTGTCTGCGGACAAGTTGTAGGAAGAGGAAGAAGGATTCGATAGGTGCTAGTGATTGAAAGTAGATAATGAGTGGGATCTCTTCCAAAAAACCTGAGAGAACCATAAATGAGGATGAGACAGCAAGAACCATATGGAATCTTCTTTTTGGTGAGAAGCATCAGATAGGAGGGAGAAAGAGGACAAAATATTAAAAGATAACTTTAACTGCAATTCAATAGAACAAAAATTACACCCCAATAATTATAGAAAATAGAGCTATAATTGAACTTAAAAAACTAATCATATTTAAATTAAATCTAAATCTAATAACTAATTCACATTTTAATCTAAAATTATCAAAAATAATAATTCATCCTTAAACTAAAATAAATAAAAAAACCTAACTTACATGACAAGAAATCCATAAAGCAATAAAATTTAAATTTCATGAATCATTTTGGTTCAATATAATTTTAGCCTAGCCCTAATTCTTTATTTGGATCCATGAACTGCATTATAATTCCATCATGACTAATAGAAATCACCTCTGAAGAGTTATAAGTGTGGTACATGCTAAGTAGATGAAATGTAGGCTTCATCAACTCATCATTTGTGATCCAAGCCTCTTTAATGGTAGGATGATTCATTCAAAAATAACAACAACAACATCAAGCATTTATCCCACTACGTGGGGGCTATATGAATTCTTTTTCTCCATTGTGTCATATTAGGAGTCAAGTTCTCATTTAAATATGCGTATGTACAACAACATCAAGCCTTTGTCCCACTACGTGGGGTCGGCTACATGAATCCTTTTTCGCCATGGTGTCCGGTTAAAAGTCAAATTCTCATTTAAATCTAATAAAAAAATCATTTCTAATACTTTCTAACCAAGTCTTTTTAGCTCTACCTCTATCTTTCTTAACATAGGCCAAATATAATACATTTACTCTCCTAACCGTGTCATCAAAAAGCCGACATTTTATGTGACCAAACAATCTAAGGCAATTTTTCTAATCTTGTCCGCCAATGGAGCTACTCCAACCTTTTCACGTATATACCCATTTCATATTTTGTCTATAAGAGTGAAGCCACTCATCCACCTGAGCATCCTCATCTCTGCACTTAATTTTATGCTTCTCTTTTAATGGCCAACATTCTGTGTCATAAAGCATTGCAGGTCTCACCACCATCTTATAGAATGTTCCCTTAGGTTTGAGTGGTACTTTCCTATCACACAAAAGGCACGATGCATTCCTCCACTTCAACCATCCAACTTGAATTCTACTAAAAAAATCCCCATCTATTTCACCATCACTTTGAACAATAAACCCGATATATCTAAAACATGTACTCTTATTAATTATTTGATCATCGAAAGTCACAATCCCCCCACTAGATCTATTACTACTAAAATTATACTCTGTGTATTCGAATTTAGCTCATTCATCAAATTAAAAATTTATGTACCTCTAAAGCACTTGAAGTAATTTCATCTAGAACAATATTGTACACCAAGTAGATCTAATATCGACTCGCCAGCCGGCTCGAGCTTGACTCATTAATGAGCTCATAGGTCGAGCATATCGAGCCACGAGTTCGAACTCGAGCCTATACTTAAGCTCGTATATCAAATGAACACGAGCTTGAGCTAAGCCTGGCTCGGCTCAAAATCTTGTTGAGCCGATTAACTTAAAATATATTTAAAAAATATTTTAAATTAGCATTATATGATATATTATAATCTTTTTAAATTAATTCTATATTCAAAATAAAAATTCTAAAATGTTTAATTTAAAAGTAAGAAATCGAACTCAACAATCCAGTCAAGCATGAGCTTTCCAAACGAGCTCGAGCAATCGAGTCGAGCTCGATCCTATAAGTTTTTTAACGAGTCTAGATCGAGCCTATAAATTTTTTAGCAAGTCAAGATTAAGCCTATAATTTTTTTAATGAGTCGAGCTCGAGCTTAGTAGACGGGCTCAAGTCGAGCTTGAGCTCAATAAGAACTAAAAAAGCTAAGATGGATTAGGCAGATACTCAGCTCAACTCGAAACGTTTACACCCCTAAACTTGCCAGTCAGTGTATTAAGGGGTGATAAAAGCACAAATATAACAATATTTATCAAAATAGAAGCTCAATATACAAAAAGACAATAAATGGCTCTAACAAGGTAATAAATCTTTAATATTCAACAAATGACTAAAATTAAATTCTCAAGGAAAATCAATCAAATAAATATTTGAACCTCATATCCTAAGAATTTTATATAAAGGCCATGAAATCTTGCATGGTTCATTTTAAAGACAAGGGGGAAAGCATTCTAGCCAAATTCAAAGAAGCGCAAAATCAAACTTTATTAAATTTTCATTTTCTTCTTAAAACATCAAGTATAGTTTTAAATTTCCCATTTTTCTTTCCACTTAATAACTTTATATTGATACGAAATTTATGTACAAGTCAGGTCCCAAGCTCTAGATGGCAAAAGTAGAGAGATGCATTAATTAGTTGACAAATAGGGCTGCAAATGAACCGAGCCGAGCCAAGTATGTATTCATTCATATTTTAGCTCGTTTATTAAGAGCTTGCTCAAGCTCGGTTTGAGCTTGATTCGAGCTTTTATGATTGTGTTCAAGCTTGGTTAATTTAAAATCATATATGTTCAAGCTTGGTTTGTGTTCGGCTCATGTTCGGTTTGTTTGGTTCTTATTGAGCTCTAAATAAATTGCTCGTTTATAAATTAATAAACGAGCTTTATCGAATTATTAACAAACGAGCCTTATCAAGTTAATCGAGTTATTAATATCAAACATTAATCAAGTTATTTAACAAGCTTGCTCACGAGCTCAATATTGAACATGAAACAAGCTTTTTAATGAGCTTCATATCGAGCATGTTCATGAGCTTTACATGATGTTATTCATGAACATAAACAAGCCGAACAGATTGTTGTTCAAGCTTGTTCATTTAATCGAGTATTTTAAAAACTGTTCGAACTTGTTTGATTATTAAATCAAATGATTATGAATGAGCTTTAATTGAGTCAAGCCATGAGTATCTTATCGAACGCTTAGTTCGTTTGCAGTCCTATCGATAACCAGTGTAAAACTTTTCCAACAATTATGACATGAATCTTTTAATAAAATATTTTAAAACTACAGCATTTATTGAAAGTGACGCACTGTGTAACCTCAATATGGTGAAAAGTGAGGGCCCTTACACCAGCATCTGGGTGTAGTGTTAAATAAGTAAGAGTTTTCACATCATGAATGTATGGGTGCGTTTGGGACGGCTTCACGGTTGCTTTGCTTCAGAAAAATTTATTAAGGGTGCGTTTGGGGCATTGCGGTAGAACAACGTTAGAAAAATTTCTGCGGCCCGCTGCTGCTTATCGCGACCATTCATTGCGTCTGCGGTCGGCTGCGGTTGCTGCTTTCCGCCGTTATGAAGGGCGTAAATGACGAAAAAATCCAATCGCAATGTTTGCTGCAGATCAACGTCGACCTTCTCAAGCTCATCCATCTCAAGCTCATCCATCTCGACTCACCTTCTCCTCTACGTTGTCGCCATCGCTGCGAAACCCAGACGGCGACAACCCCTTCCTTCTCCGGCGCTCGAGCGGGAGATGAAGCCAGAGTGTAAAACACCGAGGACTCGCACGGTGTCGCGAACAAATCATCTTCTTCCTTCTCTTCGAACTCCAAACCCCCCCTTTCTTCCTCCTTTGTCGTATAAAGCACTCTCGAAGGCCCAAACGCCACTGCCCGCCACATGGCCATTAGTATGTCTTTGCCATCAACGCATTGCAGCAGCAGCAGCAGAGAGATCCTCGCTCGTCGTTGATGTCCGGGTTGTTCTGGTTTTCAACCAGTTCCCCATCGCCTGCAGGGATCAATTCCTTAATTAGTATGTCTTGGTACTCTTCTGAGTCTTCCAACTGGCTGGAATAGATGGTGCGGAGAGCCCATTCTCTGGCGACGACGATGCCGGGAATGACGAGGAGGATTAGAGCTCCAGCCAGGAGGAGGCGTGAGGTGGCAGGGTTGGGGGCGGCCGGGTTGAGAAGGAGGACATGGAATTTAGGAGGAAGAAGATGTGAGTGTCACGGCGGCGGGAAGAAGTGGAGAGGGGTTGCGGCTGGAGAAGGATAGGAATGAGGGCGGTGATGGAGGTAAGGACAGGGAGGACGGCGTTGAGGAGGAGGTAGGAAGAAGGAGAACCGTTGATGGCTTTGGCGACGAGTGTGTAAAGGGCGGCGCTGACGCCGTTGAAGCTGACGGTGAGGGATAGGGCTAGGCAGCGATTGCTGGAGAAATTTCGTATGCAAAGAACGAAGCAAACGGTGTTGATCAAGGTATCCAAAAGTTAAAATAATTATATTTTACAGCAAAATTGTTAACATAAAGAGTTAAAAAAATTAAATTTTAACAAATTTTATTCATCTTAATATATGTAAGGGTAACAAGGTAATTTGTTGTCAAACAGCAGCAGTACAGCAGTTTGGCAGTAGTACTATCCAAACAACATTGACTGATTTCTATACAACAACTTAAAAAAGCAGTTTTATGTACACCAATTTCACAACATGCTTTACCGACAGCAACAGCCGTCCCAAACGCACCCTATATTGGCAAAATAAGCTAGTCCATGAAATTAGAATTAGAATATGAACATGAAATATAAGTACTCTTGCAGGAATTGATACATTGTGTTAATGCTAGAGCATTTATTGGAAGCAACGTGTAGTATGATCTCAATATAATGAAAAGTGTGCAAGGGCTACTCTGCTAGCACTTGGGTGCAGTGTTAAATAAGCAAGGGTTCCCACATCATGGACATATATGGGCAAATAAGAAAGTAACAACTTTAAATAGAATTAATAAATATTATAATTCATAGGAAGATAAATATTTTACATATTTAAAAAACTAAATGAGTTGGAGAAAAAGTTAAAGAGATTCATAGTTTAAATTTTAAACTATTGTAACATATAGGAGTCATAATAAAAATAGTGTAGTATAATTAGAAATAAGAGTTTGAAAGATAATATTATAAAAATTAATAAAATTAAAGATAGAATTATAGCTTTAAAGATTGTGTTAATGCCAAGTATTAATGTTATAAGTGCTTATGCTCCTCAAGTAAATTTGAATAGCATTGATGTGCAAAGAGGCTGAATTGATTACATTAAGAATATATTGGTCCATCTAAATTTCAGGTGGTGTCTTCTTAGAATCAGAAGTCTTAGGAATAGTTTCTGCTATTCTAACAAGTAGCCTAGAATATTCACGTGTAGCATTAATTATTCCAGGGGTTGGTACTATAAGGGATCTATTTGCCTTTATTTTCAAAAAAAATTCACTCATAAAGCGCTATGACAGACATCTTATATGGAAGATTTGTGAGGTTCTACTTCAATTTGAATATCAAATTTAAGGCCATTTAAAAATTTAGTTTTCTGATTGTAATTTGCTTATATAAAGGTTTGGATTATGTGGTAAATCTAATCAGAAATTCCTCTCAAAGGAATCCTTTTCATTCCTTCTCTACCACCCGTCTCCAAGATGCAAATCCTATCTACTGTTCCGGTCGCTAATGCTAATGGAGTTCCCAGGTAAAGTAGCAGGACACTGCTGAGAATGAAATCCCTGCTGATGTCATAGCTCTCAATCGCCAAATATTTGCTGACTATTATTGCTGAGTGTTGCTCTCTATTACTATTGTTTCCAAGGGCTACTGCTACCAATTTTAGTTGTTTCGTGTTGCTGCTATTGCTGCCTGCACTGTCCTGTCGGTACTTGTTACTCTCTGTTACTGTTGTTCCCGAGGGCTGCAGCTGTTAATTTGACCGTTGCATGCTGCAGCCACTCTAGAGCTGCTTCTCCAATATTCTGCTACAAGTACAAATTCCAGGTAGTTGTAATCAAGAAATTTAGTGCAGAAAATAGCAACTTGTTACTGTTGTGGTAGAGAACAATACCAAAATAAAGGAAAGAAGTGTTCTCCGGCAAAGAAAAAGGGGTAAAACAGTAAATGGAAGACTACATATAGCGATAGAAAACAAAATTAAGGAGATTGGTCAACAGATCAGTTGCTTTTTAAGCGTTTTGGTTTTAGTATTAACTTTGCGTCAAAACATATACCTCCTCTTTCAGTTCTTTACAAAAGGCATGAGGCGAAAGAGTTACAACCACATAATGAGAGTAATAAATCCAAATTATGGGGGAATTCTAGAATGCCTTCTTATGAAGCTATTATGCCAATATAAATTGCAAATTGTTCTCAAAATCAAAAGCTAAGCAATAACTTTAATTTATAGAAAAATTATTTCAAATATTTAAGAGACGTTGATATGATGCAGAAAACATTATGTAGAACAAAAGGAAAATTCAAGAAACATTAAGTAGGTTTAGGGCAATAGGAAAATATGTTTAGCAAATATTTAAGAGGCATGGCATCGTGTGTAGCTAATACATCAAATGAGAGGTTACAAAGAAAGAATTAAAAAACAATAAAAAATGAATGCAGCAGTGCTAATATAAAGATGAAAGGCAATTTTTTTTAACTATCTAGTGCAAGGAGAGCGATGAAAGGGGAAAAAACGATAAGAAGTCAACTTACGCCCATTCCAGTTTTCCCCTATTAACAAAATACCCGTTATGCTTTGTTGATAATTTGTCAACTTGAAAGTATTCGTCCTGGGAAGTAATTGCAGGAGAAAATTAATAAAGTTAAAACAAAATAAATAAAATGGGTTAACCATTAAATCAGAAATATAAGAATTTTTCAGGAAAGTAATGTGCTCTTCATAAATGGTGTTGATCTATGATGCACAAACACGGACACGGCGACACGGATACGACATGACACGGACACGGGACACGTAAAATATTGAAAATATAGGACACGGGTTGAACACGGCATTATAGTTTTTTTATTTTAAAATTAGTGCATAAAAATTACATAAGTATAATTTTAAAAATAATTTAAAAAAATAAGTCATTTAAGTAGAATTTGTGCTTAAAATGATTAGTATTAGGATATCGAAAGTCATGCATTGATGCCGTTTATCAGTCACCGAGAGAGGAGATGAAAATACCTTCATTGCCAAAAAGAAATGAAAATGAGAATATTCGATGATTGTGTATTAAGTGCGGACATTGATTTGGTGTTGTGGATATGAAATAATAAATTTAGTTTAAATTCTGCCAAATACAAGAAATTATATTTAAAAAAATTCATAAAATATTTAAGATACGAGTGTTGGACACTCGTGTCCAATTTGTATTTAATATTTTTTAATCGGACACGTTTTCAACGTGTCAGACACGTGTCGGAGTGTCAGACGAGTGTCCTGTCAGATACGGTGTCGTACACTGCACGCCTCTTTGAGGAGAAGTGTCGGTGCATCATAGGGGTTGATCGGTAATACTGATCAAATAATGTTATAAGTTACTATAAACTCCAAACTTTTTGACATTGTAAAATGGCCGCATTATCAAAGTAAAGGCACTTTCATGGCCTTCAGCATATTACTATGCTGAATATTCCATTACAATTATTTATTAGAACAACTTAACTAAGCAAAATGACAAAGAGACCACATTTAAGATCAAAAGATATTGAATTATTAGGCCAGGTTCTCAAAATATGGATATCCAGAGTTTAATTTGCATCTTATCTTCCATTCCTCTATGTTATTGGTGCAAAATTCCGAGAATTACCAAGTTTTCAGAAAATAAATGCGAAATATACAATTTCTCTTATATAATATGCTATCCCAATGTATCCCAGCATAATTGTATATGGTATGCTTCTGATACATAAGCACCCACATAATTCTCAGAAGTTTTTCATTGGCAAATGGGAGCTGAATTTTGCCGTCAGTCAACCTCTAGGTTTCTAGATATTTATATGAAAACTTCTTCAATACTAATTTCACTTAAAAGATTTATTATAATTTGAGGTTTAAAATCACGTAATTGGATACTGAGATGTTTTCCATTAATGAGGCAAAGTGTAAGTCTCGAGGCGTTTTGAGGCATAAACCTCACAATCTAAAAATTCCATAAAGTGAAAATGAAAGGTAGAAGTTTCATTTTAGCATTAGAACCAAATAATATATTACAGAATAACATATTAACATTCTATTGTGCTATAAAGTAACAAATTCATGCACATATGAGGCTATAAATTGTGCAAGATGTAAAGTAACAAGTGACAAATTGCATGAAATAGAATTTTAATGTAAAAAATCAGTATGGAGAAAAAATACAAGATATAAGAATTGAGTAAAAGTAACATAAAATACTAAGTCTAACTCCAAGTTAAACATTAACAATGTTCAAATCAAAATTAGTTCCTTCATTCCCAGTTCCGCACTCATCAATATTGTGATAGTAAATCAATAATCATCAATGCTGCCATCACTCAAGGGAAATCATTTGAGCCTTCGTCATATCAAATAGCCTTTTCCTGTGTTTCATCATTTGTGTGGTCAAAGGTCTCCTAATCTACTTCTTCTTCATCAATATCACTCATCATCCTCTTCCCCGAATATTAGTAATCAATAGAAAAATGAGAATAATAATTAAAATTAAGGAAACTTTAACAAATTAAATTCTTTTTATATACCCTTTTTTTGGTTCTTTTTGTTGTTACTTGTGTTGGATGCAAATGTTTTATTTCTAGTACCATCAAAAAAATCAACATTCAAATCTTCTTCTTGTCACAAATGGTGCAATCTCAACTTCATCATCAACAAAACATCATCATCTAATGGCATGCCTTCACAAAGCAAATGATCCTCATCATCCTTTATCAATCTATTCTTCAAGTATTCGTCCTTGAGTCTGTTGTTGTACAGGATACATACCAAGGAATTCATCTTTAAGGTTATCATACGATTTCTATTTAAATATGAACTTGATTATACATGCTCCAATAGCATTACATTCACATACGAATAAAGAGCATATTAACCCCAAACCATAACAACAAATTGTTGTAATTCTAGAGTTCTATAATAAAATTAAATATGTCATTCAATGGAAGTATGAAGAAAAAAGCACAAGTAAAAGAAATAATTAAAAAAATGAATTTCGCTCCAGCAAAGAAAAACAAAGCAATTTACCAAAAGATCGCTTTACAACTGTATATTTCATTTGCTGAAGATCAAAGAAGCCCTCCTTATTTCTAGCAGAAACCATTTGCATATTAAAATTTGCAATTTTAGATGCAACAGCAATAAGCCTATCCATGCAACGCTATAGACCAAATTTTATCTCAAGAATTGTTAACTTATCATTTGGATGATGAAATTGAAGCTTCATACAAATATCCTGCAGCATGTAAATGGCGATGAAGATGTACCTCTCACTTTTCATCAATATAATAAACATTTCCTAGTAGCAACCCTCTTCTCCTTCTAAATTGTGGGCAATCAGCTCTTTTATTTAATCCATTGTATTATATATAAAATTCATAACAAGCTTCTTTTCAACATCAACTATCATCAATACTTGAACCAGTGGCTAAGTTGTTATTATAGCTTATAATACACTTTATCAGAAACTATCATTTAGAGCTGTTTTCATAATCTATTTTCTCTTAGCTTTTTTTTTTTTGCCCAAACATAACTCAACCACTGGGTCAAAGCAAACATAGCCTTTAAAAATTTTCTTGCCTGCAGTATAATCTGCAAAGTCAGATAAGCTGTGGTAAATTTTATTGCAGCGTGTCTTCAAATCTTTTTGATAATTTTCTCATAGGTGTCAAAACTCAAGAATGATTAAATATGTATTTGATGATCTTATTGACTTTACTTAATACATTTTTGTGTTTTGGCAACTTACCAAGTTTCTCAAATACGAGATCTATGCAGTGCGAGGTGTATGGGGTCTAATATAAGTGCTTCGTCTTTTCCATCAACCTGCTACCTATAAACATTGGTGTTATCTATCACAATTTGAACCACCAAGTTCTCTCCTATCTCCTCAGCAACGCCATTAGGTAATTCACAAAGATACTCAGCATTCTTCACCTAATTAGATGATTTTATGCACTTCAAGAAAATTATATTATATGAATTATTTATCGATATATTAATCAAGCATTTCTTCCTAATATCTGATCATTAGATATAACAGTAACCCTTATATGGCTCCAAGTTTTATTAATTTCTTCAATGATTGTTTTTGTTGGCTAGCTTCTCCTTCAAAGAATATGTTTTCAAATCATACATAGATGAGGCGTTTCAAGCACAACTTATAAGCACCAATGAAGTGAATCATGTTGAAGTAGCAAAGGGAGATTACAACATTAATGGGATAACACTCATCAGAGAATCTGTCAATATTCATACATACACATTTGTGTGCCTCCCTAGCAATCTTCTGGGGTGACTTCTGTGAGGAATAAGTTCTATCTCCCTATCTATCATCATCCATGTTTACCATTTAATAATCCACGAGACCCGTCGCACCACTACTCGATATTGTTAAATCTCCCCCAATAAAAACTATTTTTTCAAGAGGTATCTTTTGTATTAATTTTTCTAAACCATTCCAAAATTTTAATTTTGAACACATCCAAACCTACTTGAGGAGCATAAGCACTTATAATAATAATAATCTTACTATCAACAATAATCTTCAAAACTATAATTTTATCTCCAATTCTATATATAATCACATCTACACCATTTCTAATACGACTTCTATCATAATACTAAAGTTTAAAACCTAAACTATCAATCTCCTTAGCCTTCTCTCTCACCCATTTAGTTTCCTGAATTCATAGAATATTTATCTTCATATGAATCATAATATCAATTAATTTCATTAATTTACCTGTAAGGGAACACTACATTTCAAGATCTTAACCTAATTTTTGTTTCATGAATTAGTTTCTTTGCCCACATCCATCCATGACGTGGGAACACTTGCCTATTTAACACTGCATCCAGGCACCGATGCAGCAGCCCTTGCACACTTCTCACTGTATTACAACACGTCGCTTTTAGGGAACGTCCTAGCATTAATACAATATATTAAAAGAACTTAATCAAGGAAGAGGGAACAAAATTAGTAAACTTCAAAAAACCATTTATGAGTTAAAATAAAATCTTCATGTCTAGTGTAATAAACTCTAATAGTGCTTGCTACTCTTGGTCATCAAAGTAGCTCAGTTGATAACTCTATCTACATCCACCATTCATCAACTAATATAGTGAACCTTGTTTTATATGTTGCTGATATTCTTAATATTACAAATGATAATTTCAGGAATATTGGTATCTGATACAGCCACAATGGCATATATGAAATATCAAGATATCTCAGAAAACTTTGAACAGAGCATAAGTCTTTTAAGAAACCCACCACAAAATCAGATCATGCCATGTGAATCACCTGCATGCACTTATAGGGCATAGCAGAGGACATATTGAAATGCTTGTTCAACATTAACGTTGCATAAAGAACAAGAGGTGAAATGCTTTGCAGAAAGTCAAAAGTACACTATGACGAGGATGGTCAAAAACTCTTTACATTGTTTTGATCAAACAACTATTTTGGAAGGAGGTGTTCATAGTTTTGACTTTTAAGTATTCATATCTTTGTACTTCTCAACTATTGGCTTCAGACTCTTTGTTTTGTTAGAGTTTCTTATTTTTTTTTATCCATGACCTCTTAGATCAAAGATTATGAAATAGAAAGCTAGCTTCACTAAATTCAAATACATATCATCCACTAGTATGCATCCTTTGTGTGATGGTAAAAGGGCATTCACAGATTTGTGTAAACAATAAGGTATCCTAGCGTATTCTGGAATATTAGAACATTATACCTGAAACAACTAAGGGAACGAGTTCGTTAATTCTTTTATCCATTATTCTTTACAAGTATTCAACTAACTATATTAGATCAAAGATTATGACATAGAATGCTAGTTTCTGGAAAAAAAAAGTTTAATTTTATATAAATGTAATCCACTTGCATGCATCCATTGCTGTGAAGTTTGCAATATTAGCAATTGTTCGAAAAATAAAAGGTTCATAAACTTTACCTTAAACAATAAGGTATCCTAGTGTATTTTGGAAAATTAACACCTTATACCAAAAATAAGAAAGGGAAAATATATGAAGTATCCATGTTTCAAAGTTTCCACGTCAACATTTCACTTACTAGATCTAAAATATGCATGTCTCCATATAGTTCTTTACAATTTTCCACAGAAGAAAGGCCTGAAACTCAGTTTATAATCACCAGCATCAAGTATTAAGCCATAGTTCAGGAATATTTATTCCTAATGTCGTAAATATTCACCTCATTAACTGGACTCTCGAACAAATGGGAGAATTTTCTGATAAACTAACTCACTTCTCCTTACTACAGATGCAACTGCAACGCTTTTGGCAATCCAAATGAAAAATGATATATCACTGTTACTACAAAAAGAAGGACAAATGTCATCCATTCAAAGCTTTGAAACCTTTCAATAGGGGATAGACCAGTAACGCAGTTTATAATCATGCTAACATGCATTAAGCTATATCTTATCATAGAGGATTTCAGGAGACATTTATCAACTTTAATGCAATTTCTTTCCACAAGGTGCCATCTCAGACAAATTAAAACATTTTCCAGCACAGGTAACCCATTACACCATCCTATAGATGCAATTAAAATACCTTGGCCTTTAAAAACTTAAAAATAAGATATCAATACTCAAAAGAAATGAAAATATATTCATCTACACAAGATTATTTCCGCAATAAAATGTGCATTTATCAAGCTTTTATAAAAAATTTGTTTTAGAATTAATGAATAAATGAATTAAAGAAGTTCAAACTTGTTGGCAACTCTAAAACATGATAATGATTTTATGCACTTAAGAAAAAGATGAAAATAAAGCTCGTGACCCTTACCCCAACTCTCCACCCCCGCACTTCCCGCAGCACAAGCTATATCAAATCCAAGATTCATGACAAGTTCTCAATCCAGACTGCACTCAGATCATTCAGCCAATACTTTGCATTATCTCTTTCCTTAAACTAGGCAACTTATCTTCTTTCTTTCATGTTAAATGGATCAATATATTTTTAGGAATTATCCTCATTTAAGTTTAAGATATGTCTAAATGTACAATATTTCTACAAATTCGTACAGGAAGCCATATCTTTTTATCCTATAACAAATTAAAATGAAAATTATTATTATTATGCCTCCTATTCTCTTTTCTCACCATCTCTCTTTCACACAAAAATCTTACTTTCCTGCCATAAATTTCCAATACCAAGTCTCCCTCATAATATGCTCTCTCTAGGCATGATTTCCAACTTCCAAAAACACAAGGTTTAAAAATCATCTCCCGGGATCCCCCTACAACTTAAATTCCTACCTAGATTCTCTTTACCTTCCTTTCTCTACAAGCCTAATTCATCTCCCTTTCCATTGAGGGTCAATTCAAGGAAAAGATAAAAGCAATTCAAAGGTGAATTTATGCAAATAAGGAAAAAAGAAGATCAAGAAGGGGGTCCACTTAATAAAGGTCTATCCATCATCCCCCTAGGCAAAAGTACTCATCACTTGTTACATCATTTAAAGTAGCTTTCTATTTTCCAAAAATCATGTCCAATCTTCATATATACTCAAATGCCTTCTGCCACAAACAAAAGTCTTACGATTTGCTTGTTTTTTATGAATAAAGTTGACAACTCTAGCATTAGTTAAGTTAATGCTAGGTCTGTATGGTGAGATAGAAATCATCCTGGTCGTCAATGATCTGTGCTTATGTTAATATATTTGCTTTCTAAGAAAGCATCACTGAGTTTGACAAAGACATGGTTTTTCCTTTGCAGAAACGGCAACAGGAGAGGCAAGCCTTTTAATGGGCTAGCCACTAATCAGTTATAAGGAAAATAAGGTATTATCATTTATTCATAACAAACGGATCGTGATTGTTATTGATGCCATTTTGTATTACTTCTCAATTACGTGGGAAGTCAATTGTGATAAATCGCCATCTTCAAAGCACATCAAAGATAAGTTTGATATGTCAACAGCTAAATAAAAGGGCAAATTAAGGAGATAATAGATAGAATGCCAACGAAGAAAATAAAAACAAGAAAACAATGAAAATCTCCCAGTGCATAGAATAGGATTCATAAGTACTTAACCATGAATAGCTTGACCTCAAAAATGCTTGAACATAAACAATGGAAATAGAAGGTGGTTTTAGGAGCACACAGTAATGAAATAGGCATAGCAAGATTGGTAAAAAAAGGTAAATCAAGAAAGTTTCCCAAGTAAGCTTCAAAATCAACATTATAAAGAAGGGAGGGAGTGATAAAGATACCGCAGAAGTGAAGATGTTCTCAAAAAATTTGGATGAGATGATATTTTACAAAAGAATATCAGCACCATAACTTGGACATCAAGCAAATGATAAGCTCAAAAGAAAATGGTATTCTTTTATTTGGGAAAGAAAAGATCATCATAAAAATAAACAATGAAAAAAAAAGTGACCACTAATAAAACCAACCAACTCAGTATCATCAATAAAAGAATCCTCAGTATCATATTGGTCATCATCTGGAACATCACGTTCTTCCTCATCACTGCTTTCCCTGCCCTGGATTCAAAATTTAGTACCAATTAGTCTTACAAATTACTGAGTACTTTAAAAAAATGGGATTGTTGATAAGTGATTTCAGTGAAATCAAGCGCTTAATAAAGCATAATCATCATATATTTTTTGTACAACTTAGCATATATAGGAGAAAAAACAAAATCTTTAAGGACTAAAAATTTCATACCATGTACAATCTTTCAATCTTTTCAATCACAGAACTAAAGCAATTTGGAGGCTGTAATGTATGTTTTAAATCATCCTCCCCTGGATGAACCTTAAAGAACAAATTGATATTTAGATATCAACAACTGAACATTTAAAGCAAAGATGAAGTTACAACATAAAGACAGATTACAGATATGCAAATAATAGACGCAATTTGTCATAATGAAAAACCAGAAAAATGTAGAAGTTCCAGCTATTCGGATCAATCAAAGTCAAAACAAAACATCGTTTTAATGTGCTCCAAGTCAATATTAATGCTCAGTTTGCCGCAAGCATTTTTTAAGGTAATGGGCTGACAGATAGTTCATGAATGAAGCAATCATGTGAAGCAAAGTAGTGACTTTTTATGTGCTTCCTAATGCGATATGTTATTAAGAATCCACTTGATCATCATTGCCATAAATAACGTAGAATATATAAATAGAGTACATTCTTGACTTAACACTTCAATTTCTGATGCCCATGACCGACATTTAATAGCTATTGATAATATATAAAGATCAAACAGCACAGGTATAGTACGTATTGTTATTTCCAAACAATGGATCATGTTTTAATTAGCACAACTATATTCCCAAAAAAAATATTAGTAAAACTATCTTTTCATGCACGGAGATGTTAATATGTAGCTTTGTCAAACCACTTTACAAGGTTTAGCAATACAAGAATTTATGTTTCCTTTGATTTTTTACAAACATTTCAGATAATTCACTGCTTTGTTTCTCTTACAGACTAGTCCTTTAATATTCTCAGTTAAAAATTTCCAACACAGATGAGAAACTCCCTAAACCTTTGCTTTTTGTTTGGAGTGAAAAACCTAGTCAAATAAAAATTTATAAGGAGAAACCCTAAAAAATTAGACCAAGAGCTTTCCCAAAAGTCAAGCAGGTTCAAGAATAATCCAATTAAGCCTACCAAAAGCATGGTAACACGGAAAATCTAAAATGAAGATTAACACAAGTTATCTTCCATCTTCCGCAACCCAAATGGACAGAACACAACCAAATTGCATAATATAAAGAAAACGCAATTCCAAATAACAGCAAAGGACCAATAAATTGCAAATAAATGGCATAATCTGACGTGAAAAGCCTACCCCACCGACCGGCCGGGTATCAGGAACTGGATTATCGGCAATCAGAGCAGAGGTTTCCCCGTTCGCAGAACCGGACTCCCTGAGAAGTTTCTTCCAGGAAACGATGGTAGTCTCGCCCCGTCTCAGTTCCACAGTAAACAACTGTCGCTTTCCTGCGGCCGGCGCTTCCTTTGCGGGCTTTTTAGTGGGAGCCGGGGTAGGCGGCTGCGCCTGAGGTGGGGAGACGATAGAAGGATTGGCCGCCGAGTGGGGTTGTAAAACCCTAGATGAGCTTCCGGCGCCGGTCTTGTCCTCCTCCATATCTTTTTGTTTGTTGGAAGCGAGAACGAGACTTCTGATCTATTTAGGGCAAGCTAAATGGTAGCCCTTTTATGAACGACGGGATGGTGCTCACCTGAAGGACTGGAATGGGAGAGAATTGTCCGCATAATTCATGAGAATAAGGGGCGGCGCCGCTGCCGGCTACCGTGACGAACCTGCTTCCTACTCCTGGTAAAGACGGAACTGGATCCCGTAGTTCATTCTCCCGCAGTCCGACGAACACGCAGTAAAGCCCCAACGGATTGCGCGGGATCGACGTAAGGTCTTTGCCGGTATGCAAAAATGTTTGGCTGACTGTGAATTTGGTTTCGGTTTCCACGGACGTGGTTCGGATCCGAACTGTACAGTTAACTAGTTATGCCGTTTCAAAAGTTCAACCCGAACTTATTTTGACCTAACAGGCCTAATAGGCTAGTTTCTACTTTCTAGTGGCTTTTTTTTTTAGTTGTGTACGAAAAAAAAAGTTATATTATGAGGAGCATGATTGAAAGAATACTAGGAGCGAAGTCATAAAAATTATGTTGTCTAATTTGTGCTTGTGAAGAAAACATCAAAATATTTGATATTTTTATGGGAAATTTACCTACATATCACTATATTTATAATCATTTATATATCTAACATCTCAAAATTTAATATTACTCTTATATCACCTAAAAATCATTTTATACATTACTTCTACCACTCCGTTTAGGTCGAACCTCACGTCGTATTTCTCCCATCTTTTTGCGGCGAATGTAAGAGAGCGGCATGGCGTAAGTGGTCGAGGATTTCGGAGATCGCGAGAGGGGAGGAAGGTGAAGTCTGTAGCTTGCTTTTGAGATCGAGAGAAGGTATGATCTGTGCCTTCGATTCGTTTTTTTTTTTTTTTTTTTCAAAGCATGGAAGCAATTTTTAAAGAAGGGAAGCAGCTTTTTTTGTTGTTTGCTTCCCTGCGTTCGGTAGATGTTTGCGTCAGGTTCTATAACCTTGCAAATAAAGAAAAGTTTAGATCGGGAGTTTGTAGTGGTTTTTTTGGCTTTTGAGATCGGGAGCCTAATATGTGCCCTTCATTTTTTTTTTTTTCAAAGCAAGGAAGTAGTTTTTAAAGCAGTGAATCAAATTTATACAATAGCAAGCAATGTATAGTAAATTTCCCTTGTAGTTCAAAACCTGAAGCAATGCATACAATAGCATTCTTTAAACGTGATTATTCTTGTAGTTCTAATAGGTTAAAACCTGCTCTGATTCAGGTTATGCCAGACATATTTGATTTGAATGCTGCTATGTAAATCTAATGTATAATTCTCATCAATTATTCAGGTTTTATAAAGGTTATAATGAGTTCTTCGAATTCATCGGTTGTGAAAAATCAGATGCAGCAGTCGAAGGTTCATTGCAATTGCCACCTAAAATGTGTCGTGTTTACCTGCCACCGAGGCCTAACAGTGGAAGACAATTTTATAAGTGCGTTTATAATCAAACTGAGGATGATTGTAGGTTCTTCAAATGGCTAGATGATGAAGAACAAGAAGAGCCTACTTATGTGACACTAATCGGGCATGTGATGCAAGGAATTCGAAGAAGCTCGACTTGATTCTTCACATGATGAAAGTTTTTTTGTAGTAATGGTTTTTATCGACATTACTGTCCGACTTTATTTAGACTAGTGCTCTTCAGAAGAGCACCGCTACGGCTATAGGATTGCGGAGGGGTATACGACTGCACCTACCCTGAGGGATAGAGAAGATCGCGGGCTTCCGCGCTCCTCGCAAATGGGTCGATGGAAGGGCATATTAGACCCTACATATGATTAACCATAGAGGATAGCGGCTCTTGCCTACGCACCTCGATGGGTAATAATATGCATGGCCTAATCACAGGCACAGGTTTCCCCCACCCGATACATTAGCTCGAGTGGGGTTTAGTAGATGTGGAATTCAGTTTTTCACGGGCGCAAGCCCCCGCGGTTAATTACATCTCCGGCCGGAGCCCAAGAAGACTCTCGATTAAGGATCATACATTATCCTTTCCACAAATGGGATTGGCACATGGATGAAGACTAAGAAGTCGTACTCAAAAGGAAATAAAGGGATTAAATGGCTCAGTCGATATGTGTGGTTCACACCAGCATTCAGAGGGACTGGTACTGAGAAGAAACTAGAGAAAATAAATCAAGCACTCGACACATACGTGAGAGAAAGATGGAGGTGGCGCCATCCATGTGACGCATATAAGTAGGATTCATAGTTCCCGAAGAGAAGGGACTTACCCACTATTTAGGCATACTACGAGACTGAATATAGTAGCCTTGAATCCTAAATCTAAATTGGTTTTAGTGTTCTACGCATACTAACACCCGTGTCCTAGCTAATATAGTGTAAAACCTGGACTTATCCCGGCCTGGATTGGTGAGCTAGCTAACCACCTAATCGATTTAAAACCATGCTGTTAAGTTATTTATGAAAGATAGGTGGGTGGTTTAGTTTTTGGAAGTTAAGGCTGACGTCTAGAGAGTTTTCTAATTGGCCTTGTACTTATGTAGGGTAAATGCTACTAGCTAATGCAATTAAAATTTTATTTAGTTAGTTTCTAATGCAATGCATGTTGGTTGAAGATCCAAATCAGATGTGCATAAGATTTTATAAATAAACTTATATAAAATAATTTTTAAAAAAGATTGAGCCTCCCCAAGTCTGGCACTTCATTCTTATATGTCAGATTATCCAGAATCTACCCGCAGGCAGGAAGGTGTCTTATGAGAAGGACAGAGGAATGCATCATTATGCATGCGACCCCGGACATTTTTTATAGTTCCCTAGATTCGTTAAGTTTCTATGTTAGTTAAACCTTAAAATTTTGAATATTTGTTATGAGTAGAAAAATGTTATAGTCCTTAGAGAGCATAACAAAATCTAAGCTAAAGCAAAATTGGCATGCAGCTCGCCAATAAACTAATAAAAATATGTAACCCTAGAGGCACACATCATAAATAAAACACATAAGAAATAATCAAACTAATTAAATAAATGTCCATAGGCCAACTGCCCTTAATTACAAACTAGTGTCTGCAAAAAATAAAGTGGCCTAGCACCACTGCCAATAACCAGAATTTCTAAGCCTAGGACTGACGCAAATAACTTTGAGTGGGATATTAGGTCTTCGGGTCTTCAGCCTTCCTGAACTTCTTCTCATTGGACTCCTTGGATCTCGCATCCTTAAACTCCTTAGATCTTTCCTCCTTTGACTCCTTGGATCTCTCCTCCTTGGACTCCTTGATTTGTCGTGTCTTGAATATCCAAACGAAGAGATAATTCCACCTTTTAAGAGGGCATTGCCTTTTCTCTTTGGATATTAAAAAGCCTTCCAAACTCAATCTTCTAAATGGAAGAAGACTCTCCCCTTTGAGGATGTCTTCTTCTTTTGGAATTCGAGTTAGATAAGAATATCCCAACTCAAATACACTTTCACAACTCTCACCAATATTACAAATAATTTACATTAATGAAAAGCAGTAAAAAAATCTAAACTCTCATACAAGGTTATCCTAATAAAAATTTCAAGCAGTTTTAATCAGCCCAAGCAGTTTATATAAAAATGAAAAGTAATCATTATAGTCATCCTTTTCCATGCTCTTAATTATGAGGTCTAAATAGTCCACATGTAGCAGTTATTATTTTATGATTTTAGCCCTCATTTATTTAGGGGGCTGAGCAAATTTTGAAGCACCTGTACGAAACATTATTAGAAATTATGATATTGCCCCCCTTTTATTTAGCGCTACATGAGAATGACCACCTGTAGGAAAAATAACACATATATCATCCCTAACCTAGGGGTAGATTTAACACACAACCATATCAATCCACATAGTGTAGTAAGAGTAAGCAAATACAGCAATCAATTTTCATAACATACAATGAAATATCGAAAAATCAGACACACAGTAGAAAAGTAAACACCGACCTAGCCTAGATCTAGAAGTGGTGCCCTAGCAAATAATTATATGTGCGTGTAAGACTTGTGTGGTTTTGGATAGGTCCTATGTAAGATGATCATTTCAAATTGCCTAAGGTTAGAATTTATTGAAGGCCATAAAAGAAAGTTTTATTTAAAGTTTAAACATTAATGAATTAGGATCCATTTTAGTTAATTTAGTTTTTTGACCACTTTTTAATGCTTAAAGTTGTGATATTTGAAGTTCAAATTGTATTAATCAATTTTGGAAGGTCCCGTGTCCTCCTAGGTGCTAGGCTGAGGGGGTCCAAAAAGGTCACTATAAAAAATATGCTAGGTTAAGGGTTCCTAACATGTAGGTAAATACTAGGGCTTAAGGTGAGTAGTTAGGCTTTGAGTTTGCTGGATTTGGAGTTTCCTATGCAAAGATATGAATTTTCAAAGTTTTGAGCAATTAATGAATTATTGAAACTGCCTGATTATGGGTGATTTTATAGTTTTGATCGAAATTGGCTCCAAATTGATTGGAAACACCCCCAATGGTCAGAAATGACCTAAGAAGATATTCCCAAGTGTTTGAGAAAATTTAGAATTTATAATAATTTTTAATTATCTAATAGGGGTAAAATGATAATTTTTTATTGGGGTTAAATTAAAGGTCAGATTGAGGTCAAACTAAGATGCCCTATTTATCTAAGGTTAAGAATTAAATTTTAAACAATTAAAGCTATTATGAGTATTTTTTGAGTTGAAATTGATTTATTAAAATTTTTAGAAGGTATTGGGCCCTAATAGTTGGGTAAATTAGGGTTTGTTAATTAAGGGGTCTAAAGAGCTCTAAAATTCATAGAAAATTCTGGGATGTTCAAGATATCACTAAGTTTAGATGTTGAAGTTTTCATGTCAATCAGTGATCTATCCTAGCCCCTAGAATTTTTTAAGTTCGTTAGACGGATCCTTAATTATTGTTCTTAGGATGTCGCTACATTAGAGGGATTTAAAATGAAGTTTAAAACTAACTCTCAAGATAACTGTAACGCCCCAAGATCTAACTTGGAAAGAATTTCAAGCAATCCATCAATAATTTACTAGAGCTATCTATAACTTCAATCAAACAGTCTAGAAAAAATCTATAACATTTAAAACATCAATGTACAAGTCGATTCATATCTCAAAAGATCATATACAATACTCAGGATTTAAAATGAAGTTTAAAACTAACTCTCAAGATAACTGTAACGCCCCAAGATCTAACTTGGAAAGAATTTCAAGCAATCCATCAATAATTTACTAGAGCTATCTATGACTTCAATCAAACAGTCTAGAAAAAATCTATAACATTTAAAACATCAATGTACAAGTCGATTCATATCTCAAAAGATCATATACAAT